ACCGTTCGGGCAATACTTTCAATTTTTCAATGAACTAAAAATTTGCATATTTTCAAAAAGACCTGAACCGCCAATTAAACATGCAAATGAACGTGCATTTTTTGAAAAACGACCGTTCGGGCAATAATTTCAAATTTTTCAACGAACTAAAAATTTGCATATTTCAAAAATTCGTTCTCAGCTCGGACCTTAACCGCAATTTTTTTCAATGAACTAAAAATTTGCATGTTTTCAAAAATCCGTTCTCAGCTCGGACCTTAACCGCAATCGCAAATTTGCATATTTTCAAAAATTCGTCCTCAGCTCGGACCTTAACCGCAATCGTATGTGTAAATGAATATTTGCATATTTTCAAAAATTCGTTCTCAGCCCGGACCTTAACCGCAATCGTATATGTAAATGAACAATTTGCATATTTTCAAAAATTCGTTCGCAGCTCGGACCTCAACTGCAATCGTATATGCAAATGAACGCTGTTTTTTTGGAAACGACCGCTCGGGCAATACTTTTACTTTTTAGTGAACTGGAAATTTGCATTTCATAAAGGCAGGGAAATTTGATGGAGTACCTCAAAGTTTAATGCAAAGACGCATGATCGCACCGGCTCGCCTGGTGCGTTCCAGCCTGGGTTTTGTTTTTGTGATTTCCTAAACCTGTTAAGCCTCGATGCCCACATGTTGTTTTATTCTTCAAACAATGCACTGTTTCGATTGTCTTTTTCAATTTGAAGCCATGAACAGCTGATATCTTCGGCCCAGGATTGTGCAAATTTAGATATTGATTGGCTCAAGGACATTGCATAACGAGGTAATAAATCATCGGCCGGGTCGTTGTTGAAATTACCGCACAAACCGCACACCTGAATTTTAAACTGTATAGCATGTGTGTAATACAAATTTTGTATAGTACTTCGCCGGTCTCGAAGAGTAGCAGTGGCTAGAAACTTACCAAGCGCTTTTTTTTCCAGAAACCCACTGAGTTGGGTATTTTTTCAAGGGACGAAAAGGAATAATAAAGTAAAAAATAAGGGATCAAATCTAAATATAATTTGCACGAAGACATGTTAATTTGCAGGCTTTTTTTCATCCCTTAGCTGTAAACAGAGACCGAACGCGGCGTGAGGAAGACCTCTTCAAAATGTTTTCTTGAAGCTTTACCATTTCGCGTTTCTCGCTTATGTTCTATCTTCTCTCTCCACCATGCTATTTTCCATGACTCGAAAAAAAGCGTGTGTGTACAGTTGTGCTATGAGTACCAATGAAGCTTGGTCCAATACAGCTCAGGGATGAAACACAGACAGGCTACCAAGCTGCGCATACAGGCTTGCTTATTTGGGAGATGTAAATGGCACTTCCAGTGTTTTCATTAATTTCAAAATTCGTCTGTGTTCCTCTCCATGTTAGGGCCGATAATGCCAAACAAACTGATATGTTAACACACAGAAGATTTCAGAAGACTGCAAATTTTGTCTTCTCCCAGTCCCCGGGCCAGAAATCTTAACTATTTGTATCTTTAAAATCTCGACAGCACTTCTTTTTTGCTGGAAATTGGCGGTAATTGCATTCAGTCTGTTCAATTGTATCTCGCAAATTCCTAGTACGTTCATTAGTTGGTTAGTTGCTTTAATGTGCTTGTACTATGAATGTTTGGCGGTATTAAAAAAACCTGTGTTTTGGCCTTTGGCTTTCGAACATCTGCAGAAATGTGCCAACCTTAAACTGATGCCGTTTGGTGAGTACAATTTCGACAAACGATTCACCATCCCAGATTACCTTCAGGCCAATAAATTTGAACGAAACAATCACATGCCCAGTTGATTCATCCTCATAGGCTCGATACTCTGGCCAATCACTATATCGAACATACGGAAGGCTGATTTGCTGATCGTGTTCACGCACAACCTATTGCATTTCATTGCTTTATGAATTCCGATTTTGCATATTATTATGATTTAATCAATTTTACTCAATAATCTGAACATAAGGCAACGAAACGAACAGCAGAATCGTGGGCAGAGTGGTCGTCGGGTGATACAACATTGGTCAAAGTAACTGGAAAATTTGCCGTCTAATCAGCTTCAAATCAAATTCGCTGTGTGATTTAGAGAAGCATTTGTGGAAGCAGATAAGGGGAGAAAAATTTATCGTTTTCCGTTCTGTTTCTTTCTGTCGTCTTTCTCTTTTCATCTTTTCCGTTAAGCACTGCGACCATCATACTGA